CAATCATAGCCAAAGTAATCAGCGAATGTGTAGCAAGAGCCAGAGCCAGAGCTAGAGCCAGAGCCAGAGCCAAAGCCAGACCCAAAGCTAAAGCCAATGCTAAAGCCAAAGCCAAAGCCAAAGCCAAGCCATTTCAGCGTGACAATCAATTGATTTCCCATGCGGGAAGCAGGAAAAAATAATATTTTTTTTCTCCTTCTACATTTTCTATATTTTCTTTCTTTTTTTTTTTTTTTGTGAGAGTTTTTAAGCTTGCCTTTAACCACTGCAGCACTTTTGGCATTTCTGTCAGGCTAGCTGCAATTTCTGATCAATAAATCATTCGCAGTTCGCTGTTTGCTGCTCATTTAAAAGGGCCAACCGAAAGGGTTCAAATGAAAAGGAATTGCAAATAATGTCGACTGTTTTTTACGAGCAATTCCATTTGATTGATTATATTTTATAATTTTTTGCAATTGGTCCATTTAATTGGCATTTTAAACTCTATATTAAAGTGCGGAAAAAAGTTGTAATTCCATAATACAGTTTTTTTAATGGTTTGTGTCCCAACTAATTTGCCAGTGCAGAGCGTTGCATACTTTTGGGAGTGCATTAACATGCGATGCCAAAACAAAGAGTATCTCATTTTTGCCAGTTTTCAATTCAAATTTAACAAACTGCCATAAATCACAGCGCACTTGCCGCACGCATGGCGTATGAGTGATTTATTGAACGATTTTCGAGCAATGCAATTTAAATTGATTTCATTGTTGTCTGGACTGGACTGCATAATAAACTAAACTAGCCGGCGCTGCGGCGCTACTGTCTCTGCTCCAGCCACACATTTTACAAGCCCAACTGGCGAGCAGAAGGAAGAGTCGCAAGGACCAGCTGGGCAAGGACAACGATGTGAACGAAGTTGAACGTGGTCAGGGACCAGCAGCAGCTGCCACAGCTACCAGCGAGCAGCGGTCATAAGCGGTTAAATGAGTTGCCCGTATGTGTGTGTGTGTGTGTGTGTGTGCATCTGTATGTATCTGTGTGTGTGTGTGCCAATATCGACCACATGTGGTTAAATTATGGCCAGCAGAAGTGTTCACAATTTCAGCAGCCCAAGGGATGCCGTTAGCTGCCCGCTGCCCACTGCCCATATGGCTTCGACTATTGGCCAGTGCAATGCGTTTTCGACACATTTATTTTACAATTCTTACAGCTTTACAGGAAATCAATAAAGCATATTTCAAAGCGCCAAGCTCTGGGCTGCCAATGACGCATGGATGTGGCCATTCGCCTCAGCCCTTCACACATTTCGCCGCCCCTCAACCGACCCTAATCAAGTTGCAATTCTAGATCGGCATTGCGCTGGGCAGCCCAAGTTTGTCAACTCAGAGCGCACCCTTTATCTGCCCTATAATGAGCATTCATTGGGCCACTCAGTCAACGGCTTTGAGAGGGCTCCTCGGGCCCATCGACCAGGCATCGATGTGGTCAGGCGTCACTTTGGTGTCAGCAACGGGCTGCTGACTACGACTACTCGGCCAATTACGCAGACGGCCAGTGCAGCTCTAATTGGAGTCGGCTTCATGCGAGCGGAACTGCATTCGATAGCAGGTTGATTGAAGATGCGGCACGTGCACTGCCACACCACTGCACCACTGGCAATTTTTGTGGTTTGGTGGCGACAAACCAGTTAACTCGAATGTCCATCAGCAGGCTAAGCAGGCGAGGAGCGACCTACCTTTGCCCACTGCAGTGCACTGGGCGGCTCTGGGTAATATTTACTCAAGTCAAAATTAATTATAAAACATTTTCTGCTTATTTTTTTTTTTCTTTCTTTACTTTGTTGTTGCAGCACGAAGGGCTGTCACAAAAAGCTGCTGACTTTGCGCAATTTCAATTAAGCTTGTAGCTGGCAAAATCATTTTAATTTCACCAGCCACATGGAAAAGGTGCCAAAACGTAAGCCACGCTGCGGATGCGTGCCATTGACATGCCACAATTTTTGTATTTTCTCTTCTCTTCAATGTCCAACCCAGTGTACCCCACGGCGTATGCTTAACACAAACGCAACGCTTGCATAAAAAAATGAGTGCATATAAAATGTTTCAATGAAAATGCAGTTTTCAATTAAATTTAATACGCCCACTGCTCGCACAAACTTTTATTCAATCAATAGAAATTCCTCAAGCAAGCCAGACTGCACACAGAGCTGCGGAGAAGGGACAGCGGACAGCGGACAATGGACGGACATTTTTGTGGTCAATTAACCGCAGCGCACGCTGCGGCTTAGATGCTCTGCGCCAGCTTCTGGTCAGCAGAGATGTGGCCAAAGTTGGCTAGTTGGCTCGCTGGCCCCTTTGGCCCCTTTTAGAACGGGACGTATGTAGCGTGTCCGGCCGTTGGGCGACTTCATTTAAGCAGAGTCAACCGCCCCATAAAGCGTTTATTTTAACACACTGAAAGTTTCATTTGCGCTCGTCGCTCCAATTTCGTGCTGGTTTCCTGGTAATTGTTTTAAGTTGCATTTATTTAAACTTTTTACGTTTTACTCTACGAATACGCTCCCGCGCTCGGGGCACGGATAACTTTGCCAGCTTGTTGAGAAAGTTTTTAATGCTATTTCGCTTCGTTCTTTTTCCTTTTTTCCTGCATGTTGTTAATTTTATTAAAGTTTGCCTTATCACTTTTTCGTCGACTGCAACCTGCCATGCACAAAGACCGCAAAGAACACATAGTCAAAAAAAAAAAAAAAAAAAAAAAAAAAAAAAAAAAAAAGAGTAAAAATACAAAGAGAGAAGAAATTCACCTTTCGTTAAGTGATGACAAAAGTATCTCAACTTGAGAGTTCCAGAACTGCTTCGCTTCGCACTCAATAAATCATGGAATATTCGGGCAATATTCATTGTGTTTGATATAAAGATATTATACACTGCTAACTACAAGAGCTTGAAACAAAATATTTTCGCATGGTCTCAAATATTTCCAAGAAAGGAGCTTAGTTTCGAAATGTTTTCTTAGCAAAGCTAAACTACAAATTTTATTTTATTTTATTTATTTTTACTTTTTTTTTTGTTCTTGATAATCTTCTTGGTTAGCTTTAAAATTTGTTCTTTTAACATTTAACATTTAAAATATCAAATCTCATAAATGGGTCACTCAGCTGTCTTGCATTGGGACATTTATGTGCACAAATACACTCGCATTTGACTAGTTGGACGCAGTAAAATATAAACAGCTCCCTGGTGGCACATCTGTGTATACATGAGAAGCGAAAGAGACAGAGCGAGACAGAGAGAGAGTGGAAAGAAACGAGCTGAGGCTATATATATATATATATATGTATATACATATAACCTAGTAGGAATACAAACAAGCTAGCAGACAGAGACAACAACAACATTATAATAAACTGACAGCATGAGCTTTACATTGCTTTCATTTAGATTTGGATTTAGATAGATTGTGGCTGGCCTTAAATATGTGGCAGCATTAGCATATCCCTCCGTGTTGCACTTTAAGCACAAGCAACGGGCGACCTATGAGCGAGTGAGCGAGGCGCGTTAAACCCTTAACGGTTGACATCTTAAGCCCACTTGCCTTGACTCTCTGTTCGCCTCCACCCACCCTCCCTCTCTCTCTTTCTTACTCTGCCACTCTGGCTCTGTCTACGACTCTTGACTTGCCATTCAACTCTCATATTTATGCGCACTTTGTGGCAAATATTTTTCTATGCCTGCTCCACACTTGTTGTTTCTATTTTCAACCCACGCACATACACACATATATACTTATATGTATTACTTCGTATTGATTTTCGCTAGAGCTCGACTCGGGTGTCCAAAAGTATGCTATACGACTCGCATACAGCATACAGCATACAGCATACATCATACACAATATGTGCATTTTATGCGCTTTGATATTTTATACAACCGCCCACTCAACGAGTTATACACACACACGCACATATATATATATATACACACATACATATATATACATATACACATGTACAGCACATGGCTATCCATTGTTTGCACACTCTGTGACATTTTTATGCGGCCAAACTTTGTTGCATCAAATTTACGGTGCGTATGAGTAACGACAGCCGTTGCCAGCCGCCCGTCACATTTGTGGCAAATATTTTGTTGTTATATTCATGTTGTTGCTGTTGTTCTGCAATCCAAACGATATGTGTCGTAAAAAACACACTTGCATTTATTAGCCATCAGCCGAACCCCACCCGACCACCCGACCACCCGCCCACAGCCACAAGCCCGCAAACCCACAAACTGTCAAGTAAAAAAACAAACAAAATAACCCCAAATTGTGTGGAGTAAAATAACAATGCGAAAGCAAAGGCCATTCAACACTTTCAAAAGTATTTGTTTTTCCTGCTCCTGTGTTTGTGGGTGGTTTTTCTTCGCTCCATGTGAGCATAAGAAAATGTAATTGAATAATATATTAAGGACTCGATTGTAGCCGAGGGATGCAGCAGTCCTCGGACAATTTAACTGAATGACTAATGAATGTTTATTTAAATTTCCCTGCTTAAGTGTCGTTCAATCTCAATGCCTGCCTCAGCTGCAGTTGGCAACACGGAAATTACAAATTCTAATTTTGTTCTCTCTTCTTTTTGCCTCCTAATGATTCCATTCAAGAGCGCTCTCCGCTGACACTGATTTGATTTGCTTCACAAAGTTTGAGCACCTTTTCGCATTGCAAAACATAATTGCGCACACACAAAGAGACTCGCTCACACTTGTCGGCGGCCCCTTGAAAAATCCAAATTTCGTGGAGCTGCCGCTGCTCAGGCTAAAACAAATTGGATGCCATACAAATTACAGAAGTGAACGAAAGGAAAAAGTCACGAGCGCTCGCACCGGGAGTCAATTGAAATGCTCATGAGATGCTTCAGCCGCGAGTCAGAAGAAATTTATGAAAATGTAACACGCAGCGTGAAGAGTGAGGGGGGGGGGGGGGGGGGAGGAAGAAGTTTGCATTATCGCTGGCTGACTTACCGTCATGTACTCGTCCAAACGATGCTTCCAATTGTCAGATCTATCGATTAGATTGTTCCACTGCTCCGAAAGTTTGCCCACCTCGCGCCGTATGCTGCGCGCCAGTTCCCGGCTCTGCTCCTCGGCGGACATGTAACGCGAGTCGGAGTCGTGGGCGGCTGCAAGGAGACAAAAGCAAAAGAGGCAAAAGTCAAAAAGTGTGTGAAAAAAAGCCAAAAAAAAATTATGAAAATTGTCGGCGGGGCGAAAACAATTGCAAGTGCTATCATATTCGACACGCCACGCCCCCGCCCCGCCTCTGCACCGCCCACCCTGCCCTGCGGCACGTAACTTTATGAATTAGAGATGATATTACGGTTCTTAATGTTTACCGACAGCCATGATTATGCTGACGATGCCAAGCGGGGCCCAACTTTGATTATGCTGATTGCGAGCGGTGATTAAATTTGCAATAAAATAATCTCAGCTCTGCGTTGGGCACATCGAAGCAAGAGATACGCTCAGGGGACAGCTCAACCTCGCCCCCAGAGAGTTGGCTTTCAATCAAATTAGCAGTTTATGGTTCCGCTTGAAAGAGACTCGAAGAGTAGGCAGGCCTAGATAATGATGAGCACTCTAAATGGCTTATCATGTATTTAAATTATCGCTTAGCCTGTTTAATAGTGCTATACAATTGCAGGTCAAAGGCAAGGAATTTAAGCAATATCCTATCCCAAATTGGCAGGGGAAAACCAGAAAAGAAAACATAATGGAAATGTCATGAGACATGAGAGACAGGCTGACGTGCATGTGGCGGAAATGCAAGAGCGAGAGAGAGGGCGAGCGGCGTGAGAATGAGAGTGACAAGTGGCAGTCGAGGCTAGAAGAAAATCAATCCCCCGAGCTGCTGACGAGAGGGCGAGAGAGAGAGAGAGAGACAGAGAGATAGCTGTATGACAAAGACAGCGGCTTCTGCGACTGAGCATCGATGAATGTCAGAGCCGTTGGCTAAATCTGAATTTAATTTAATGCACGAACGGAGCCGGAGAACAACTTTTATGGCCCCGCGCCGGCGGCACTGCTGGCTGGCTGACTGGCCAGTCGTCAGCTGCTAATATGATGCTAAGCAAATATCGGGCATGGAGAAATACTTTGAGGAAGCGCCCGCCAGCAGCGGAACTGTTGTAATATTCAAATTCAATTTCAGATTGAGTTTATCGCATAGATGTTTTCTGCTCTTTCCGCGCTTCACTGCCTGACGCCAGCGACAGCGACAGCGCCAGCGCCAGGAGATTGTTGATGGAAATGGCAAATGCGTCTGAAGACGGACTTCTCTCGATGAAGATGAACGTCTGCAAAACTTTTCGCTTTGCCGTTGATTTCGTTTTCATTGCGACTTCTTCTTCTCAAACAAATTCAATTTGGTCAAATGCAAAAGAGAAAGGAAACTTTAAATTTCAATTTGAATGCTGAGCTGCAACCAATGTAGGTTAAAAGCAAAAGTATTTTTAGCATTTCAATTAAAAGGGTCAAATAACACACAAAATAAAAACAAGTGAAAACATACAAAAAATAGAAATAAAACTGGGCTTGTGTAGAAACTGTGAGGGATTCAACCTGTTTTCTGTCAAAGCAAGCGAAAAGTGAAAAAAAGAGATGAGCCAGGGTAGAAAAACTAAATTAATTAGTTTAGTAAGAGTCAAAGAGTAAGCTGTAGATGAGATGCTGTCTATATATGAAAGACATTCCTTTAGTCTAAGTGTTTCACTAATTTGGCCATCACTGTATAGATGACTGACATCACTGTATAGACTGAGCACCTGACTTGCCTGAATGGATATGAAAAACCCAATTAATTAATATAATAGAATCAAAGAGAATAGCTTTGTATAGAAATGTTGTCTATATATTTATAAAGGACTTTTCTGTTTATGATCTAAGTGTCCCACTTATTTGGCCATCCCTGTATAGGTGATGGCATGATATAAATGCCCAAAATTATATGAAAAACTAATTTAGTTAGTCTAATAAGATTTATAAAAATCAACTTTGCACTGTTATATTGTCTACATATGAAGGACTTTACAATTTATAGTCTATCTCTTTTATTTTGCCATCACTGTTTAGAAGAGAATTGCACAGCCTGAGAAAATTGTCTGAATTGATATAAAAAACTCAATGAATTAGTCTATAAAGAGCTAAGAACTAAATATATATAAAATATTTTTCTATTTTTAATCCGACTCTATGATTTATGTGGCTATCATTGTATAGGGTGAGCTTTAAACTGATATGAATAACTAATTTAATTAGTCTATTAAGAGTTATAGACTAAACTTAGTAAAGAGATATTGTCTACATATGCCAGATTTTCTTTTTCTAGTCTAGCTGTCTCATTTATTTGGCCCTCACTGTATACACTGAACAAAATATTGTCTAGAATGATATGTAAAACTCAATTAATTAGTCTAATAGCAAACAATGAGTAAACTTGGAACACATATTTTTTACTGTATACAGTCTCACTTATCTAGCCATCACTGTAGCCTGATAAAGTCTCCTATAATGATATATTTGGATATATTTGGAAATATCACATTATCTCTTCAGGTCGCTCGCGTTTGTATTCAATGCTGCCCGACTGCTCTAATAGGCTATATAAATATGTATTTTCTAATTGAAATTTGGCAAATATTTAATTGGGCTAAACAAATTAATGAGATTTTGGCTAAAGGGGAAGGATTTAATTTAATTTGAACGCAAGTTTATGCTGCCTGTGCACCGATACGGCCTGCCGATAGCCGCAGAATAAACATGAATGGTTAAATTTAAATGCCAGCTAAAAGCACAGATTCCGTAGCCACACACACACACACAAATGCCAAACTTAATGGCACACACACACACACGCACAGATACAGTTTGGGGGCAACTGTTGATGGTTTGGCACTAATAGCGTACTAATCGCACTAATTGCTTTGGCTGCAATTATCGTTGACGCCTCCTCGTGGGCGTGGCCATTGGTGATCTGTCGCCATTGTGCGCATGCTGGAAACGAACAGCACTAACTAAGCCAATGGTCATTTGCTAAATTGTTGGCTGTAGTCGAAAGGGAACTAAGCCCACAGCAAAACAAAAAAAAAAAAAAAAAAAAAAAAAGAGGAAAAAAAAAAAAAAAAAAAAAAAAAAAAAAAAAAAATTGTTTTATGCATTTATTTGAGAGAGAGAGAGAGAGAGAAAACTTAGCATTAGCTTCGATTTGTACAACATAATTTAGCTAATTTTCCTTTTTTTTTTTTTTTTTTTTTTTCTTTT